GGGTGATAGTGTCCTCAATCTTCTTGTTCCTTTGTTGTTGTCTTGCTGCTGCTATGTCGAAGTGTAGCTTTGTGGTGTCTTCTTGTAGGAATTGTTGAAAGCTCTTGCTGTGGTCGTTCCATGATGTTGTGTGTGTTGTTCTCTTGCCAAGTAGTGATTTGGATTTGTGCTTGTGTAGTCGTGATTTTGCTTGTCTGATGTGTCCAATGGTGAGGTGTGACTCGTTGATGCCTCCAATGTAGTTCGCTGTGTCCTCATAGCTGTTGTCATTCCAATCCCAGCTGTTGTCATAGTCGTAGTCGTTCCAGTTCTCCTCCATGTAGTTCACCTCATGTTGTCCTTCTTCTCCTTCGTAGTACCAGTCCCAAGTGTCGCTCACATCCTGAGGTAGTTCATCATTGTTGTCGTGATCTGCTTGTTCTTGTTCTAGTGGATGTAGTTCTTCTCCTTCTCCTATGTGCCATACCGGCACTCTGCAGTCTTGTGCCCAGTGGCCGGGCTTGCCACATCGATGGCATGTTGTGTAGTTGTTGTTTCCTTTTCCTTTTGATTTGCTGTAGTTTCCTTGGCCTTTGTAGCCTTTGCTTGATCCATATCCTTTGGATCCTGAGTAGCCTTTTCCTTTGCTCTTGTTGTATCCTCCTTTGTTGTAGTTTCCTTTGCTGCCTTTGTCGAATCCTTTGTAGTGTCCTTTACTCCTGTACTTGCCTTTGCTCTTGCTTCCTTTGTAGCCGCCTTTTCCTTTTCCTTTGCCTTTGTAGCTTCTTCCTTTCCTCCGTATGTTGTCAACATCCATTGGATACTGGGAGTAGTCACCAGTGAAGAAGGGTGGTGGCAGTTTGTATCTATGTAGTCTCTGAACGTCGTTGTCTTGTTCTGTTCCTGCTCCCGTAGTCGTGGCTCCTACTGTGTCTGCTGTTGGCCCGTTCTCTGCTCCTGTAGTTTGTTGTGCTGAGGCTGATGCTGCTTCTCCTGACATGTCGTAGTAGTTTGGCATGTAGCTGCTGTTGCTCTGTTGTTGTAGTACTTACTGCTTACTGGAGCTCCCCTATGTTTAGGATCTCAGCCCCGCTACCACGTTAAAATCGGTTGTTACTTTGCTTACAAGTGCAAGTGTTGTAATGTTCAAACAAACAGTCAACCGATGTAGTCTGCAGCTGCCAACCTTTTGACTCATGCGGAGTAGTAAGCTCAAGGCCTGCGGTAGTGGACATACATGCAACAAGAGTGCAAAGTGAAGCATGTAGTTTGACATCTCTCTCTCTCTCTCTCCCCCTCTCTCTCTCTCTCTCCCGCTCTCTCCCGCTCTCTCCCTGTGTCTCTCTCTCTCTCTCTCTCTCTGCATTGCAGCGTCACGTCCCCCCCTGAGTTCCGGGCACTGCCCCTGCATGACCCGGAACTGTCATCTCACTACTGGCTTTCCCCTGATTTCCCCTTCATGTCATTTTCACGTTTCCCATGATGTCCTGGTCCTGTCCCTTCCATGCCGTTCAACCCCCCCTTCATGTCCCTGACATTTTCTCCGTATGTCCGCTTCATTTTCCATGTATGTCCCGTTCTTTCGTCGCGAGTCATTTCCCTACATCTCCCGTCGTGCCGATTGGTTTCCTTGTGCGTTGTTTCCCTTTCCTTCCCCCTACACTCCCCTGTTTTCATTTCTGTCCCTTGCATATCCCTTTCAGTTCCCCTTTGTTTCCCTTTCATGTCCCGCCGCTTTCCTGTCATGTCGACTTCCTATTTCCTCCCCTCATTTCCTTGCACTTCCTTGCATTTCCCCTTTGCTCCCCAATATTTCCCTCAAAAAACACGGTTTTCCAGCGTTTTCGAAAGTCGGGCGTCCAGATTTTCGGCAAAAAGAGGCAGGAACCCCAACGCAGCAAAGAGCCGGCAGAGGGAATCGAGCCTGGAACCCCTTTTCGAAGACTACGTTTAGTGGAACGTCATCAAATTGCCGCGCGGTCCTTGGGGGGGGTGGGGGGTCTGCCAGGTACATTCTACGGGAAACCTCCGGCTCAGAAATGCTAGATGTATGGCTCAGTTATTAGAAGAGTTAGCTGAAAAATCAGTCGATAAAAATGATGATGAACATGATGGTGAAAATAATATGATGATGACAATGATGATAAACATGATGATGAAAATAACATTATGATGACAGTGGTGATAAACATAATAACGAAAATTCGGATTAAATGATGATGAACATGACGAATGATGATTTTAACAAAAATGATGTCCATGCTGATGAAAATGATGATGAACATGATGATGACAATGATGATTAAACGTATGATTTAAATGGTGATGAACATGACGAACATGATGAGGAACAAACGATAAACGAGAATGATACAAGTGATGATGACAATGATAACGAACATGATGATGAAAATGATGATAAACATAATGATGCACATGATAACAAAAATGACGATGGACATGATGATGATCAACATAACATGATTGTACAAATGATGAATCGTGATAAAATGATGATACACATGATGATGCACATGATGATGAAGAGGATGATGAAAATGATGATGAAATTGATGATGACAATGATGACAAACATGATGATGAACATGATGATAGCAAAAACAAATGCTGATGTACATGATGATGAACATGATGATGAACATGATGATAAAAAATGATGAATGATGATACACATGATGTTAAGCACGATGAACGATGATGGAAATGATAGTGACAATGATGATAAGCATGATGATGACCATGATGATAAAAAAATAATAATGATGATAAACATGATGACGAACACGATGATGAAAACGATAATGGCCATGATGATGAAAATGATGATAACAAGCATGATGAATGATGATGACAATGATGATGAATGATGATGAACATTATGAGAAGATGACGATGAAACATATGATGAATATGATGATGAAAAAGATGATGACGATGATGATGAACATATTTTTTGCAATTAATTAGACCAATTAGCAGAACAATCATTCATTTGTTCATTTTTTCTAATTGTTCTAATTAACTAGAAACATTGGCTGAACTATCATTCAATGCTTTCCATTGTTTCTATTTTTTCTATTTGTCCCCCGGTCTCCGGAATGTTGGAACCTATTTTTCCATTTTTTCTAAGAAAAAATAACTGAAAAATCCGTTGTTTTTTCTATTTTTTCAAATGTTTCCAATTAATTAGAACAATTAGCTGAACAATCAGTCATTGTTTTCTAATTTTCTAATTAATTAGAAAAAATAGCTGAAACATCAGTCAATTTTTTACATTTTTTCTATTTTTTCTAATTGTCCCCTGGTCTCCGGGATGTTGGGACCTAAGTTTTTCTACTTTTTCTAATTAATTAGAAAAAAATTAGCTGACACATCAGTCATTTTTTCCTATTTTTCCTAATCTTTCTATTTAATTGGAACAATTAGCTGAAAAATCAATCATTTTTTCTAATTTTTCTAATTAAGTAGAACAACTAGCTGAGCAAACAATCACTTTTTGCTAATTTTTCCAATTTTTGTAATTAATTAGAAAAAATAGCTGAACAAACAGTCAATTTTTGCTAATTATCCTAATTTGTCTTCTTGTCCCCCGGTCTCCGGGATGTTGGGACCTATTTTTTTCCATGTTTTCTAATTTTTCTAATTAATTAGAAAAAATCGCTGAAAAATCAGTACTTTTTTTTTAAACATATTTTTTCTAATTTTTCTGATTAATTAGAAAAAATAGCTGAAAAATCAATCATTTTTTTCTAATTTTCCTATTTTTTCTATTTAAATAGAAAAATTAGAAAACTTAGAAACAATAGACACATTAGAAAAAAATAGGTCCCGACATTCCGGAGACCGGGGGACAAGAAGAACAAATAGAAAAAATAGCAAACATTGACTGTTTGTTCGGCTAATTTTTCCAATTAAATAGAAAGATTAGGAAAAATAGGAAAAATGACTGATGTGTCAGCTAATTTTTCTAATTAATCAGAAAAAATAGAAAAAACCATAAAAAAATACTGATTTTTCAGCTATTTTTTCTAATTAATTAGAAAAAGTAGAAAAAAAAAGGAAAATAGGTCCCAACATCCCGGAGACCAAGGGACAAGAAGACAAATTAGAAAAATTAGCAAACATTGACTTTGTTCAGCTATTTTTTTAAATTAATTAGAACAAATAGAAAAAACCACGACTGATTTTTCAGCTAATTTTTCTAACTAATTAGAAACATTGGAAAAATTAGAAAAATAGAAAACATAGAAAAATAGGTCCCAACATCCCGGAGACCAGGGGACAAGAAGAAAAAATAGGAAAAACAACAATGACTGATATTTCAGCTAAGTTTTCTAATTAATTAGAAAAATAGAAACCATGACTGATTGTTTAGCTAATTATCATCATCATGTTCATCAACATATTCGTTTTACCATCATATTTATCATCATTTTCATCATCATTTCTGCGCGCAACACGTTGTGACACATTTGGTATAATCTTCCCTCATACCCCCCCCCCCCCGGACTAATTTCAGTGCTGAAGGGTCATGCGCAAAGCCCGAAAGAGGAAGAGGAGGACCAGAACAGAGAGAGAGAGGGAGAAAGACCGAGAACGAGAAAGACCAAGAAAGAGAACGCTTCAGAAAGAGATCAAATGAAAATAAAGAACAAAATAAAAGAAAAAGAGAGAGAGAGAGAGAGATAGAGAGACAAAGAGACAGAGAGAGAGCGAGAAAGAGAGAGAGAGAGAGAGAGAGAGAGAGAGAGAGAGAGAGAGAGAGAGATGAGGGGGAAAAGAAGCCTATAGCTCGTCTCTGATGGCAACTTCCGCCCAGCTTGGCCGGCTCGCCAGCTCGGCCGGCTTTGATTGTTTTTGGAAGGTGGCTGCACATTGACGTGAACATGACGTTTTGCAAGCTGTTGCCTGCAAAACCCAGAAAACCCGGATCCCAAAACCCACAAGAAGAAGACCAGCTCTCTTGGGGCTGCGCTCGTCATGACCCATGCGGCCCTCGCCTGGAAGCACTCCAACTGCCTCACCGGGTCGTTGAGCTCCGTGTAGGCGTTGCACAGCTCCTGAAGGAACACGTGCGGCATGCGTCACGATGGGCAGAGGGAGCTCAGGCTTGGCTCAGGTCCTTTCTTTGGCGCATGCGCGCTTCTTGAAAGATTTGAGAAAAAACAGCAAATAAACGAAGCAGGCTCAAGACAATCTCAGCTGTTCGCTGCGATCGTCGGTGTTTTCTCTCGGCGGCGTTCCGTCTTGAAAAGATGACCGCGCTTCCCGAACCCGTCTTGACTTGGCGCTCACCAGGGCTTCGGGAATGAGCCTAGGTAAATCCTAGGAAACCACCAGTTGGATGGTTCACCTTCCCCAAGAACCAGCTAGCGCCATTTCCCTGCCTTGCCCATCACGAAGAGCTCAAAGCGTTCGGAGAGGCCAGGTTTGCTCCGGTGCCACTTCGCCAACGGGCTCATCACCTGGCCAGCCAGAAACGAGAACCACGGGAATGGGATTCACCTTGGACGTGCACCAGCCCGAAGTAACGGATTGGCAAAGAAGCCTTGGAGTAAGAAAATCAATGCCACGACTAGAGTTAACCATCACACATCCAACCCACAACTTGCCCACAGCTTTCCCTATTGATCTCTACTATTGCCTCCTGCAACTTCCTCTCTTTTGTCGCGTTTACGCAGTGTGCTTGTTATGAGTATATCCTATCTTCCCCTCTTCTCTCTCTCTCTCGCTCTCCCTCCCTCGCTCCCTGCCTCTCTTCAGCTCTCTCTATTTTCCTCTATCCTGTCTACTATGTTTGCATGTTGTTCTTCTTGTTCTTTGTTATCGCGTTCCCGTCTGACTGTGATGTGGGTACTGCCGTGATAAAGAGAGCAACTGCAGAATCATGGCGGCTCTAGGAGGAAACAACCCTCCACGGCTCCACCAGGACAGGCACTACAACAATCTTGGACGGGCTTCTTAGAAGTGCTTTGAGCACCCTTCTGGGCGGGGAGTCCTGATGTCTAGCTCAAGATTCAAACAATCCTGCTTCAATGAGCACAAAGATCCAACACCGACTCTTCTTCGGACATCAAGTACCACACAAAACATGCACCCGCTTTTTGCCTGCTCGGACTGCCAACACAGCTTGGCCTGGTCTTGTTCTGTTCATGCGGGAGAATCCCAGGTAGTCAACGTTTTTCCACAAACAGTGTGTCTACACTAAGGGGTTCTTACGGTAAGAGAAAAGGCCTTGGTGCCAGATTGAGGTGCCCGCTCTGTCCGCGAGCGTTTTACCGCAGATTCGTGCTCTTGCTTGATGTCGAAGTGCGTTTCGCGCACAAAGTGAGTTTTGCGTGGTATTTCCCGCAGATTTGTGCTTTTGCTTGATGTTGAAATGCGTTTCGAAGCGCAGACTTCTGTCCGCGAGCGTTTCGCGTGGTATTTACCGCGGATTCTTGCTTTTGCTTGATGTTGAAGTGCACAAACTCGATTTTTTTGCTTTTTTGGCGCCTCCGGGGACCCGGGGGTTTTGTCTCCGGCGAAAAGGTCCCGGGCTCGATTCCCGCCCTGTCCGCGCGAGCTTGTTTCCCTTTCTTTGGGCATGCTTGGATGGTGCTTCTGTGCTGCGACGGCGTCTCGATGGTCTGAACAACAACAACAACCAAAAAAACAGCAACAGCAACAGCAACAGCAACAGCAACAGCGCCACATTCATAGAAAGGAAGAAATACAGAGACAAAACAACGAGAACAAAGGAAGAAGCTACCTAGCTAGCTAACTCACTAACTCAGGTACCCTGGTGAAACAAACACACAGATCTTGCCTTTTGTAGTGATGCTTGCGCAGCAAGCCGCGCCTGCCGATGTGCGCGCGGAATTCGAGCATCTCGGGTCATGTGTCTTGGGAGACCTTGCGGCTGCGCAGGCGGGTGCTTTGTTGGAAGGTTTATCTTCGGATCGACAGGGCTTATGGACGGCGTGCAAGAACGCAGGGATTAGCCGGAAACAAGGTGGGAGAAGTTTGCAGCAGGAAGAGCTTTGGGCGCTGGTGAAGGACAAGCTTCTCGCCGTGCTGCCGGCGGTTTCATTTCAGGCTCTTCTGGAACACACACACACACGCGCAAACACACGCACACACGACCATGGCGCTGGCTTCGACACGTGTCTGCTGCATTCTCTTGCGCGTGTCTGTTCCAGGCCGTGTCCTTGTCTTTGTGAATGTGCGCGCAAATACCGCAAAATTATGTTGCAGCTTCCTGACAACAACCGCCGTTTTGCGGCGCTGCCCGCACAATACTCTGCAGCGTGTGACCGCCGCCTATCACTGTTTGGGATCTCGTGCCGGGGTAATTTGGGAAGAAACAAATCCCGCTCTAGCAGTCAGGTTGCTGCAAGCACTGTAATGAACAGCTACACAACTATATGCAAGTAAGAGTGACAAGAGCGACACAAAAATAACGTTGCTCTTTTGTAGCTCCAAAGTGCGAAGCTGGCAATGTCGCGGCCTGCGGATGATTAGTGACAAAGGCAGGGTTCACGATGCGATCCTCGATGAAATGCCCACACAGCCTGGAGGGAAGTCGGCATGTGGAGCGTGAACTGAGATCTGCGTTGCACTCAGGATGCCATCCTTCTTACTGTCACTTCAGTGGAAACCAGAAACAGACCGGACTCAACTGCAAAAGCGTGCCATGCTAGGAAAGCAGCCTGCCAAAAGGGACCCAATAGCTTCCATGCGTGCGGTGGGGCAAGCTGCGCAAAAGGAAAAAAGGGCAGCGGACAAACATGCCAAGGAAATATTTGGGATTGTCTCAGCATTGGGAACGTCCAGAATAGCCGGCTTCTTAGTCTCCCTTTAAAACCAAACAAAAGGGCAACCGGTTGCCCCCCAAGACAGCACACCGATTGAGTGGGCAGCCACTTGATTCCCATACAGCCTCCCTGTCCTAAGGCCTAGGCTCCTCCGTGCAATGAGGAATGTTTCTTGCTCTCTGTTGCTTCCAGAAAAGGCCACTCATCATCATCTAATGGCCGTTTGGAACAAACAACTTGTAACTAAACGTTCATCCGTCTTCAATATGTAGTGTGAATTGTTGATGCATTGACAAGCACTCTGGTCTACACACATATGCCGCTCGATCTCTACCATCAAATCTGTCTTGAGAATCTACCCAATGTATGTGCAGCTAGGGTATGATTCCAATTCATTTAGCTCCTCAACATCATATTGTCTGATATTTGCAGAACTTCCTTTTTACTTCGTGCCCTCACCCCTTCCAAAAAGAGGGAAATCACTTTCCCCAAGTGGCCGCTCGTCCATGAACATTGTCTGAGGGGGTCACATCCAAACTCAAATGCCTTTCGAGATGAAGGCTAAGCCATAAAGATCACTCGCTTGCCCTCACACATCTTGCCTCAGCTCGCGTTTTGCCTCTATTTGCGAGGACCCACTCCGCTTGCCGCTTGCCCACAACGAGGGGCGCCTTCCGCATCGCTGGGTGCTAGAAATTACCCATCCCTCTTTGGTTTCATTTCGAGGACACGAGTCATGTGCTATTTAGCATCCAAATACCCGTCACGCCCAGCGGCTTATCCAGCAACCGCGGCGCTGTGCGGGGAGGGGGGCAGTCAAGGCCCAAGGATTCGAGCAGGTTGTCGAGCGCCTGATTTTTGAGGGATTTCTGATTTTTCTGAACATGGACACCCGCAAAAATGCGAGTGGTTTCGCAAAGAAGGGAGAAACAGAACGATGCGTCAACAATTCTTTGGTTATTGGGGCTTCTGAGGGGCAAGGCTCAAGCTACCCCAGCTTGACTCTGGCGTCAAATGGCACAGCAAAGGGGCCTGTTTCGCCATTGGGAGGGCTAGAGCTTGACAGGGCGGTTTGGCCCAGACTTGATCGGTTGGGAATGGCCAGGCGACGCCGAGAACTGGGTCAACGCTGTTGATCTTTGGATGTCGAAACCCCTATGGGGCGAACCTCTAACAGATCTAAGCCAACATCAAACGACGTGAGCACATCCTACCTTGATGAAACACGGCAGTGTGTCCCTGAGATCAAACACACACCATGTTCACGCACTTCACCGGCCACCTGGAAGAAGGGAGGGTACGTCACGGCTATACGTCAAACCACCCCTTGGCCGCTACTTCCAAGCTTGGCGCAGGGACCTCCGTTCATCTGTCCCAAAGGCAAACCGGCAAAGACCGGATGCGCTCACATTCCGAGCACCCCTTCTCCGGGGTTTCCCCCTGCCCACACAGGCGCTGGAACCCTGGAACCCGGAGCGAAGCGCCGCGAACGCGCCTGCCGAGCCGACTCCTCCTCGAAGTTGCGCGGGAGTTCCTTGCCCGTGAGCCTCTCTATCCTGATGGCCCAAGGCGAGAGCAAGCTCCCAGCGAAGCGAACAGCTGACAGAAGGTGTCAAAGATTGGAGCCCTCCAATCAGTTGTTGCATGTGCGCGTCAGTTGTTTTGACACGGACCCCTCTGACATCGTGCTATGCTATGACACATTGTCTGCTGATTCGCTGTCTTTTGGACTCTTGTGGACTGACCATTCGCGCGCGCGCAACTGCAGCAAATGCACCATTCCCGCTGAGTGTTCATTCACGTTGCACATTGCCAGTCTGCGTGTCCTGTGGCAAATAGATGGCACTGGAAATTCATTAGAACCATCCTGACAAACAGCGCCATCTATTTAAAACCTAACTGGCCTAAAAGGACACTTATGATTCATGGGCTGACTTCTGACAGGATTCTCGTCCACCATGGATATGCGCGGCCAGGGCGGTTTGAAGTCGATCTCGACCTGAACGCCCCTCTCTGGCAGTCTGAAAGCGCGTGCGGCCTTTTTTCTTCGCCGCGCAGTATTGCCACTTGTTTTTTTTGTGGAGGCCATATGTGCTCTTGAACCATACCTTGACATCACCTGGAGGCCAAAAGCTGAACTGTTCACTTCCGCAAACAGATCCAGAAGCCATGCAACGCGTTTCTCCGCGGAAAGGCATCAATAA